ATAAAAGAAGCAAGTTTTTAAAATTCATATTCGAAACAAGTGTGTTTAAAGTTTCTTTTTGAACTGATCCAGTAATAATCCAGTTTGACGCAAACAACAAAGAAAAGCATTCCAAACAGATGGACCACTTATGGAGAAATTAAGTGAACCAATCTTAAGCTTGGTCACAGTCGTGACAAACGTATTAGCACTACTTAATCTCAAATCATAGTCAACACCTCCTTTGTTTGCAAACATCTATCGGCCAAATATTTTGGTACCAAATTGTTCAGACATCTAAAAACCATAACAGCAATTCTAAAAATAATTCTTTTATGAAAAGGCAGCCAGTGGAGGTTGTTTAAAACTGGCGTAATATGGTCACACCAGCAACTGCCTGTAACAATCCTGGCGAACCTATTTTGAACTGATTGCAGCATGGCTATTTCTTTTTTAGAAACACCATACTAAAGGCTATTACAGTAGTCAAGACGTGAATGAATGAAAGCGAGCATAAGAGCGCATGAAGTTTTCTTAGTTAAAAACTTTTCAATTAGTTTAAGACGACGAAACTGAAACATACACATGGCAGACACTTTTTTCACGTGATCAAACATATTCAAATTGGTGCCGATAGTAAATCCAAGAACAGTTGAATTCCTGCAAAAATCAATCACAGTGTCATCAATTTCAACCGAATTTAAGTCAGTCTGTGACAGTCTTTGCCACGTACCAACGGGGAGTAAGTTTGTTATAGACTTATTCATTTGAATGCCATTTTGGTCCATCCAAACATCAATCTTAGTGAGACAGTTAACAAGTCTTTCTTTTAAATCAACAACAAAACTAGGGGGAGTGCTGGCAACCAACTGAATGTCATCGGCATATGCAAATGCCCTGAAACTAAATTCATTCACCCCATTTAGTACATCACCCGTGTAAAGCAAAAAAACAGTGGGCCCAGCACAGAACCCTGCGGTACCCCATATTGTAAAACATCACTATCAGACAGGACATTATTAAAACAAACCTGTTGAGACCGATTGAAAAGATATGACTTTAACCAATCTAACGCTGAACCACTAATACCATAACTAATTGAAAGACAACGAAGAAGAGTATCGTGCTCAACGCAATCGAAGGCAGCACTCATATCAAGATATCAAGGACAGCTAGTATAGAAACTAGTCCAGCATCTGAAGCCTTAAATAATTCAGATGTTACTTGTAGTAACAACGTCTCAGTTAAATGGTGCTGCCTATAACCAGATTGATTAACCAGTAAAAGATTATTTGCGTTCAAATATCTTATAATTTGGTGAGCAACACATATATATATATATATGTGTTGCTAAACATATATATATATATATATATATATATATATATATATATATATATATATATATATAG